ACCACAAACTTACAACCAAGAAAACAAAAGGTATTGCTTTGTAGAGTGAGAAACATAGCACATGCTTTTGTTTTGTTTAGTATCAGAGGGAAGGGATGTTGTGCTTAGTCTTGTACTTAGTACTTGTTTATTGCCAAAGCTTGGGGTTGGTTTCCTTTGTTTCTTTTTCTTTCTTTTTGGTTAGAGAAAGGTATGGGACTAATATTTTAAGTACTTGTTTATATACCAAAACTGATTCTGTCCTAATCCATAATCCATAAATTTACCCCCCAAAAAAGCTCTAATATAATATCAAAAACTATTTTATGATATAAATATTATACTCATGACCCTTGAGCCTATAACATATTAGGAACCTTTTTTCCTACAAAGAAAAGTTCGGTTCTACCAAAACTTTAGTCAAGTTTATTAAGCTGCAATACTAATTTTGACTATCGTTGGTTTCAGGTTAACCTCAAAACAGTTTAAGAAAGCCATGGAAAGGATCAACTCAAACCTGTACCTGCAGAACTGCTGCATAATGAAGGAGAACGAGAGGCTGAGGAAGAAGGCGCAGCTTCTGAACCAAGAGCTCAGGCAGAAGCTTGCCATGTCCAATTCCAACAACACCAACCCCATCCTTGACCTGCAGAAATCAAAAAACACGGCCAACAAAGGCTCCAATGGCGAAAACAATTCCTGAGCCTTAGCTAATTTTGCTTAATAGAAACAATGTACTGAACAAGAAGAAAATAGGACTACTTTGTTTTACTCAATATGATTAAGAACGTATGCAGTTGCATCTCTTTGGCCAACAAGGCAATCAGTTGTAATATGTTCTCTCACATCAGCCTTATAATATCTCATCCTGAGCTAGCAATTACTTGATAAAACAATGTACTGGTGAAGAATCTAAATATCCTTAACTGTTTTTTTTTCCCTGCCTATTTCAGGAATGCTAGTTTGCTCATAGGATTAAGAATCCAACAGGGTTACATGTCTGAAGTCAACCTGATAATATGTTCCCGTCAGTTGAAGTGGGACATAATATATCTAGATCATCATAAACAATCGGAAATGTATACAAGTTTTGATGAACAGTAGAATGGATTATATTACCTACAATTTCAATGCTGAGCTTCTTGTTAACACAACAAAAACTCTGGAAGTATGCTTTACAAGTCTGTAAGAAGTATCGACGTCGTCTTTTCCACATGCTTTTTGCTCACTGCGTTCCTTATTAGGAACGAAAAATTATTGTCCAAAATCCAAGACCACTGCCAAAATAAGATTTCTACTACTAAATCAGTAAATTGAAGGTAATAAAGACAATGTCAAAGGATGAGAACAAGCATGTGTTATATTAAAGGCAAACAAAACCCGGAGACAGAACTGTCAATGTAACGCATAATGGAAGCAACAAGCTCTTATTTTAGTAAGTAGAAAAAAATTCTGACGCCCTCATGCATTCATCAGTGAAGAACACCTATAATAAGTGGTCCTGCTTCAGCAAATAGAAATCATATCCACCATCAGCTAAGCCACATTTATTAAATCAATAATCAAACGAAAAGAAGGGGACATAATTTTCCCCACAAAAAGAAGCAACTTGAGAGCTTTTGAAGAATGCTTTCCTAGAGATTTTTTCTAGCGTTAATGTCTGTGTCCTTGCCCCTTCCCTGAGAGAGAAGGGAGGATACTTCTCTTAAGTTTTTTGTCTGTTTGAGTATAAAAAGGCTAATGATGAGAGATGTTGAATGAGTGACAGATCCACAGATTTCATGTGTGAGGTCAATGTATTTTTTAAGCATACATCATACTTTAAGAGAGAGGGTCTTCATCATATGAGAGGGAAGAAATACACATACGGCTCTTCTGTATCCAGCATTAGAATCCTATCTAAATACTGGAGTCTGGAGTCCTATCAGAAGCTAAATGGTGTTGTTAAATGCCACTTAAATACTCTTTTGTTTCAATGCCTTTACACTTTAAACACCTTAAATTGTAAAATATAACACATAAATACCCTAAGTTGTCAAACATTAGAATGTAGAAAAGAACATTAAAAAAGCCCGTTAGGATGAAAGTAACCCTCCATGTTAACTAACTCCAACAAC